AAACCTGCCACCTTAGGTGTATGTAGCTGGCGCTTTAGCCACTTGAGCCACAGGTGCTGAGCTGGCAGAAATTCTTACATACTATTTTTTTTACTCATATATTTCCAATACCTGGCAAAATGCCTAGCACTTAATAGGAACTTAGTGAATATTTGATAAGTGAATAAGTTAAATATTAGACTATTCATTATAATATTTAAATACCTTTCGTTAATTCCTCAAACCTTTACACTTAAATTTTTCTTCTTTAATCTATGTAATTTTGTCAAGCTATTTAATTTAAGTTTTGAGAAGAATTGTATATTTTGTGGATTTTTCCCAACTGCTTTTGTAAATTTTATGTTTTTTTTCAGGGAAAGACATCAGAGAAGCTTTCTGAAAATAGTAAAATATTGATCTCTATGGCCAAGGAGAACATACCACCAAACAGTCAACAGACCATGGGTTCCTTAGGTGGGTCATTAGGTATATCTTAAACTGGATTAAGATATTAAGATATCCTTAGCAGGTTACTGTGAAAGAGGTTTCTCTTGTCAAAAAATTCCAAAAGATTTCTTTGGAATCCTAGTAGCTTCCTAGAATCTTATGTATCAATATGGTCTACATATGAACCATAACTCATACTGAGAACTTAGAACTCATTTTGTGTGGTGCTGTTTCAGTTATGATTTATGGAATTCAGAGCAGGTATAATGTAACTAAAAATTGAAAACATTGAATGGAATTTGTATGTGGGAGAGAGGAAATAGAATAGTTATTCTATAGGAATGGTGGGCTTACTTTTGTTTAAAAATGTAGGAAATATACTTAAAGGCTACAAAATGCTATTTGAGAAAAGACTATTTTAATTATTGATGACCATACTGGAATTATAAAGAAGTTAATAATGGATCCATATTGATTCTTTGTGGTTTGGTATAAAAATATTTAGAAACATTTCACCACATTTTGTTGGTCCTGTTCATGGGTATACATTTTTTAAAAGAAAATGTATGAGTATTTTTAACGTGCATTGTGAATTATTGATGATGACTGAAACTTTTTCACAAAAAAGAAAGACAAAATAATAGTTCATTTGTTTAAAGCATTGTTCTCATATGGATGGTTTTTCCTGGCTGTAGGTATACTCCTCAATTATTATTAGCTCCTTTGTCTTTGTTCGACACTGTATACAGAGGGATGCTGGGCATAAGATCAAATAGCGAGTTCTGTGTGTCTCTAGTACAGCAATTTTCAACTGGTGTGCCACAGCACACTGTTGTGCCGTGAGAGGATCTTAGGTGTGCTGCGAACATTTTAAAAGATCATTAATTAAATTATTTTAGAAAGAAGTTTAAAGCGCGGTAAGTATATTCTTTCTTTTTACTCTTTTTTGAGCAAAGTAATTTAAGTGTCCTGCAGAAGTTTAACTATAGGTTCAATTGTGCCATGAGATAGAAAGGTTGAAAAAAACTGCTCTAGTAGAAAAACAGCTTGAAATGAATGTCCTACTTTTACTATCAGATATATAGATAACTTTCAATTTTGATTCTTTGACAAATTACTAGTTGATATACAACTTTAATGAATTAAAGTATTATATTTTTGGTAAAGTTCTTTATCTGTAAGACTCTCAAATTTCTTTTTTCCTTTTTAAAATTTTATTTGCCAGTCTTGTCTGTATCATGCCAATTTTTATATTGGTATAAGTGCTGCCAAAGTGAGTGCTCTCTGTTTCTTTTTCTTTTCTTTCTTTTTTGCAGTTTTTGGCCGGGGCTGGGTTTGAACTGGCCACCTCCAGCATATGGGGCTGGTGCCCTACTCCTTTGAGCCATAGGTGCTGCCCACTCTCTGTTTCTTTATCTATAAAATTTAGTTGGATTGCTGTATTTTGCTGTATATAATGTGCATTGTTTTACCCAAATATTTGAGGGAAAAATGAGGTTGTGCATTCCATATGGGTAGTATGACTCTGGAGTAGGTAAGCCCTGCAGGCCTCCCAGGGCTGCCATGCCCTACCTCTTGGGCTCGCTGGGCACATAGGGTTCCAGGCCAGGAGCATCTGTGATCCAGTGGGAGTAGGCTGGAGTGGCCTCCACCAAGCGCTGTGAAAAGGGAGTGGGGGGCAATGGTGGGGCTGGCAAAGCGGATGATAGCCCTGCAGGGTGAGGGCTGAAGCCCTAGGCCTGGCCATGCAGAGGGTACTGGGAGCCTTTCTCAGGCCTTAGAGACCTACTTTGGCTGCTCATGGACTGAGTGGCCTCAGAAGTTCTTGCCCTGATGGCCGCATACATGGCCATCTCGGCTGCAGCAGCACTGAAGTGGCAAGAAGGGCTCCTTGGAAAGAGGGAAGGGACAGCCTTCAAAGAGCAGGCAATCGTGGGAAGGCAGTGAGATCTGCATATTTATTTACAAGGAGAGCATTAGCTCTCTCCAGATACATCTTTTCTGGCCAAGGGTCGCCACTTTCTCTAGGGCATTTTCAGGCTGTTCTCAAACTCCTGAGCTCAAATAATCCTCTCACCTTGGCCTCCCAGAGTGCTAGGATTATAGGTGTGAACCATGGCACCTGGCCCAAAATACAAATAATATACAGATTATATTTCTGTATATTAGCAATGAATAATCTGATAATGAAATAAAGTAAATAATCCCATTCATATAACCAACTAACAGAGTAAAATACTTAAAGAATAATTGAACAAAAAATGCAAGACTTACACATAGAAAACTCCAAAATATGGCTGACGGCATAAATGTCTAAATAAATTCTATGTTTGTGGCTTAGAAGTCTCTCAACACTTTGTCAAAGCAAAGAAAAGATGTGCATACCATATTGGAAGCTGTGTGATGACAAGGCAGTCAATGTGGAGCTTACCCTTTGTACACAGGAAGAAGGCAGTTTAATTCTCAGCGTTTCTGATGTTTTAAATTTGTGTATATTAAATAATTGTTTTACTAATTTTTAATGACCTTTTTTAATGTTTTGAGAAAATTTTGTGAAGGTCATAGAACAATTGTAGTCAAACCCCAACTACAGGTTGGGTTTTAAAGACAGGTCTCACTCTGTTGCCCAGGCACAATCCTAGCTCCTTAAACTCCTGGGCTCAAGTGATCTTTCTGCCTCAGCCTGATGAGTAAGTAGCTGGGACTACAGGTATATGCTACCACACCTGGCTAATTTTTTCAGTTTTTTGTAGAGAAGAGGTCTTGCTATGTCACCCCGGTCTCAAATTCTTGCGCTCAGGTGATCCTCCTGCCTTGGCCTCCAAAGTGCTGGGATGATAGGCGTGAGCAGTGGCTTCTGCACCCTATGGATTTTTAAGATTGCTTTGCTGTATTTGCTTGCATGGTCATTTTTATGGTCCTGCGGTACAATGCAAAGTGAGATGTACTGTGCATACATCATGTTTAAATGGGGCTTATTCCAGGAATGCAAGATTCATTTAATATTTGAAAATCAATAGTATAATTTACCATATTAATAAAGGTAAGAAATATATGATTATTGATAAATGTAGAAAAAGCATTTGAAATTAATACCATCATGATAAAAATTAAATAGAAGCCAATTTCTTTAATCTGATAAAGTATAGCTATAAAATATGATACATCTGGGTGGTGCCTGTGGCTCAGTGAGTAGGGCATCGACCCCATATACCGAGGGTGGTAGGTTCAAACCCAGCCCCAGTCAGACTGCAACAAAAAAATAGCTGGGCATTGTGGTGGGTGCCTGTAGTGCCGGCTACTCGGGAGGCTGAGGCAAGAGAATCACCTAAGCCCAAGAACTAGAGCTTGCTGCGAGCTATGACGCCATGGCAGTCTACCAAGAGTGACAAAGTGAGACTCTCTCTAAAAAGAAAAAAAATGCTACATCTAACATCATACTTAATGGTGAAATATGGATTGATTGCTTCTTCCTTGAATTCAGGAACAACACAGAATTGTCTTGTATCATTACTTTTTAAAATATTGTACTGGAAGAAGAAATCACAATAAGTCAAGAAAAAAAGATATAAAATTTGGAAAGGAAGAATAAAACTCATTATTCAAAGATTACATGATTATTTAAGTAGAAAATCTCAGAGAATCTACAGACTATTAGAATTAGTAATCAGTTTCACAAGGTTACCTTAATTGATACAGGGATACACAAATCAATTTTATTTCTATATAATGGCAATGAATGACTGGAAAATGAAATTATTATCTAAAAAAATGCATTTAGAAGGCATGGTGCCCGTAGCTCTCTGAGTAGGGTGCTAACCACATTGAAGCTGGCAGGTTTGAGCCCGGCCCAGGCCTGCTAAACAACAATGACAACTGCAACCGAAAAATAATCAGGCACTGTGGCGGGTGTCTATAGTCCCAGCTACTTGGGAGGGTGAGGCATGAGAATCACTTAAGCCCAAGAGTTTGAGGTTGCCGTGAGCTGTGATGCCATAGCACTCTACTGAGGGCGACATACTAAGACTCTGTCTCAAAAAAAAAAAAAAGAAAAAATACATTTACAAGCATATTGGAAATATTCAATACTTAGGAATAAATCTAGCAAAATATGTGCAAGACTTGTACAAACTTTGCTGAGGGCATTTAAGGAAGCCCAAATAAAAGGAAAGAGGTACCATTTTCATGGGTTGTTATGATTCAGTATTATTAAGATGTCAGTTTCCCTTAAGTTATTGGTAGAGTCAATGTAGTACCAGCAGGCTTCTTGATAAGTTGATGTATAAGGAAGTACAAACCTGTAGAGCAGGGGTCCTCAAACTTTTTAAACAGGGGACCAGTTCACTGTCCCTCAGACTGTTGGAGGGCCGGACTGCGGGCCCCAGGATGAGTCGGCTGCTAAGCAAGACAGGCAGCGGTGGCAAAAACACCCAGCGGGCCGGATAAATGTCCTAGGCAGGCCGCGTTGGCCTGTGGGCCGTACGTTGAGAGCGCCTGCTATAGGGCAACAGTAATCCTGTAGAAAAAGTTAGAGGATTTAAAATATTGCATATCAGGATATATGATTTAAGATAGTTTTGGCATAAGGTTAAGTGTTACAGACTATTGGAACAGAATAGAGGGCACAGGAACAGACCCAACTCATATACTGTTATCTGATTTATGGCATAGGTGTTTTTATAATTCAGTGGATTAATTAGGTAGCCGCTGTACCAAAAATGAATAAATAAACCTTGGATCTTGGCCTACATACGACATTAATTTAAGAGGGGTCATTGAACTAAATGTGAATCTAATACTATAAAGTTCTTAGATAAAATATAGGAGAATGTCTTTAAGGCTTTGCTGGGGTGGAGGTGGGGTTTGTTGGGGGAGGTATTAATGCTTCATATTTAGGACTGGAAAAGTATTAACCATGAAGTAGTAGTTTGATAAAAGGGACTTCATTGAAATGAAGAACTTTTCATCAGAAGACATAATTAAAATGGTGAACAGGCAGGTGCAGGGCAGGAAAATATATTTGCAGTTCATATATCTATAGGATATGTGTATATATCTATACATATCTAAATAATATAAAAACATACGTGTAATATATATCCTTTCTATATATCTATATAGTCTACAAGTCAATAGGAAAAAGACAATTCAATTTAAAAGATGGGCAAAGGACTTGGATAGGTATTTCACAAAAGAAGAAATCCAAATGCAGAAAGCAGATTAATTAGAAGGCACATTAGATTGTATTCTTTGAAATATTTTATTTAAGCCACAACTGCTATAGAAAACAAATACTCCTAGTAGTTGTAATTCTGAAGTATAATGCTAATTGTCTTAGGGCCATTGATGTTGTACATGATGATGTGACATCACTTCATATGACCCTAACATGACACTAATGCTTTACTTGCCACTACAACCATCAGAGGACAGCAGCTCACTAAGTGAGTCTCACCATATTTCTAAGCTCATTAAGTCAGTTGAGATGCCATTGTTAATGCGTAGTTAAAAATGAGTAGTATATTTAGATTGTTCTATACAGTTCTTAGTTTTATTTCTGTAACCTACCTCTAATGCCATACCAGGTGATAAAGAATAAGAATTTAAAAATTAGTGTTTTCTGTTGACTAAACATTAAGTTAATAAAATTATAAATAATTTGGAAGGCATTATATATTGTTACTTATCTGCTAAGATAATTATTATAGTACTATTTCAATCAGTAGTATAAAGGAAATATTCTTGGTAAATAAAAATTGAACTTAATGTAAGCAATAATTTATAAATGAACCTGAATCATGGTTTTCTTTCCATTCTTACATATAAAACCCATCAAGTAGAATTTTGAAACCATAAGTCACTAAAAAATGAACAAAAAAGTAGTAAAAGCCACCATAAACACATGACTTTTTAGAAAGTAAATTGCTTGTTTGTGACACGGGAAGCTGTGCCAACTCGGCAGTCTCATCCTTTCAGTATTGTTGTCTTGTTCTCCTTGACACAATATAATATCCATTGTGACCGTATGTGAAAGAGATATGTAACTTTGGTTACCAGTTATGAATGCTGTACTCTTTATGCAGTCAGAGTGCTGAAAGCACAAATGAAATCTTAGGAATAGTGTGTTCTTTCCTACCCAGTCTTATTCCTTTCTCTTCTTGTGCGTTCATTCACATTCATTCACACATTTTTTTTTTTTTTTTTTTTTTTTTGAGACAGAGCCTCAAGCTGTCCCCCTGGCTAGAGTGCCATGGCATTACAGCTCACAGCAACCTCCAACTCCTGGGGTCAAGCGAGTCTCCTGCCTCCGCCTCCCAAGTAGCTGGGGCCACAGGCACCCGCCACAACGCCCGGCTATTTTTTGGTTGCAGCCGTCATTGTTGTTTGGCGGGTCCGGGCTGGGGATTCGAACCCGCCACCTTAGGTGTACGTGGCTGGCGCCTTAGCCGGTTGAGCTATAGGCGCTGAGCCATTCACACATTTTATTTGATGAACATTTCCATGGCTAAAAGTTGAGTGCTTCGCGTTATAGAATTGAATAAAGTGTGGTCTTAATGATAGTTTTATAGTTTAATTTCATATGTGATACTTAATTGCAAACATGAGAATCCAAACTGTTTCTCTCCTTAGGCTTAAATTCTGTACCTTTAAAAATGACATTTAGATTGCTTTGTGAGGAAAGTTTCTTTCAAGGATGATTTAAAATTTCAAGCATATGGAATGCTTTAGATTCTTTTGGAAGAGAGTTGGGAGCATGTCTAAGAGGTGGCCCTAAGGTGTCCCCTATCATCAAGTACTTAAATATGCCATAGGAGTTTATCAGGAGAATTCCATAGTGTTTACAGTGGAATTTAGTATTTTGTAAAAATCCTGAAGACAGCATATACTTGGTTGGTATTTTTAATCCAGTCAGCCAACCTGTGTCTCTTCAGTATGGAATTCAAGCTGTCGCATTTATTGAGAGGATCGATAGGTAGGATAGAGTTTGGTTTTTTTGTCCTGTGGGCTCTGTTGCCTTGTTTTATCATGTGGCCCATTGTGGTAGGTAGGCTTTGTCCTTTAGCTTCCAGGTGTCTATTTTGCTGGGAGACCATTGAGTTGGTCTGTGTATATTACAGGTCTGAGGACTTCCTGAAGAGCAGGTCTTATAATGGCACATTCCCTTGGTGTTTGCTTATCAGTAAAAGATTTGATTTCTCCACTAAATATGAAATGTCTTTTGCAAGACATAGAATCCTAGGCTGGCACTTACTTTGTTTAAGAAGATTGAAGGTAGTGGGGCAGCGCCTGTGGATCAAGCAGTAGGGTGCAAGCCCCATATACCAGGGGGTGGTAGATTTAATCTGACAATCAACACAGAATACTGGAGACTTCTGGTTACCAAAATGTGTAGTGATTTCCCCCCACTGAGCAGTCCTTCAGTGGATTCTTCAGCAGAGTATCCTATTATCAATCCAATTCTGGTGCTGTTTTCTTGGAGAGTGTCACATCCCACAGGCTGAGGGCTCAGTTCCACAAGGTTGCCCCTACTTCAGATGCCAATTGCCACTGAAACTTCTGACCAAATGGGTACAAATCAGGGCTCTTACAACCCTCACCTTGGGGTTGATTAGTTTGTTATGAGAGCTCATAGAACTCTAGGGGGAGACACTAACATACACGTGCCAGTTTATTATAAAGGATATTATAAAGGATACAGATGAACAAGCAGATGAAGAGTTGGATTGGGCAGGTCATGAGGGAGGGGCATGGAGCTTCCTAGCCTCCTCTGGGCCTGCCACTCTGCTGGTGACTTCTTGTGCTGAGCAAGTCAGAAGCTCATACTGTTTTCATAGACCTGGATTTCTATTAAAATCAGTAGAGATCCATTCATGTTCATTCTGCTTTGGACATTTGCCCCTGAAATATTTCAGTGATGTAATAATGCAGTGAATATGACACAGTTATGTTAAGTTCTTATCATTGAGCTGCATTGTGAGGAATAAGGGACAAAAATAGTGATTTTCATGGTAGTTTATAAACTGCAGTCAGTTATTTCATTTTTTAGTCCTTTTAATTGAATCTTGAAGGAAAATTTTTATTTTGTTTATAATAGTTTCTTTATACTATAGTGTTTTGTATGTATAGTGGGCTAAAAAGGGGGAGGACAGGAGCTTCAGAAATCTGAATACTCACTGATGTCTGTGTTTCCTGATATAGTATTTTACTGTTAAATATTTGACAGGTGTACCATTTTATTTTTAACACTTTTATTGAGATATAATTTGTGTATCATAAAATGTACCTATTTAAAGTATATAATTCAGTGGTTTTAGTATATTTAAAAGTTTCACAATTATTTATCCTAAAATGTAAGTTGAGTTTTGTATTTTTTTATAAGGAAACACTACTCAAAATTGAAAATTATCTTTAAAAATTCACGTCCATTTACACAGTTTCTCTTTAGGATGATAACGAAATTAAGGAAATGGATATTGGTGATGGTTGTACAACTTTTGAATATACTTAATGTCACTGAATTGCATGCTTACAAATGGCTAAAATGATATATTTTATATTATGTATACTTTGCTACAGTAGAAAGTTAAAATCTGTTACAACTTTAAGCTTGATAAAAAAATTAACACTTATTCATATTAAATTTTTTTGGAAATTTCATCCTGTGCAATTCATAGCCCTAATAATTTTTTTCTTAGAAACATGTTATAGTGAAGATATTCTTGTATGCTAAAAAATTATGTTAATTTTCTCAGACTGAACAAAAAAAGAAAAAACATTTCCCAGATTGAAAATGACATACTAAAATTGTTGCAGGTATTTATTTCTGTAGATATTAGAGTAAAATTAAGTGTAGAATATAATAAGCTTTTCTTTGCTTTAATTGTGCTGTTCTTGAAAAAGTAGGATACCAGTTAGTGCAGAACCATTTATCTTAATAGTGGAAAAGGTAAACATAATGTACACAGATAAATGCATATATAATAATAAATATAAAAGTTCCTATAGATGAATAAAGAAAAATTTATTGTCAGAAAAAATAATAAAAGTACCTGTAGATGAATAAAGAAAATCTATTGTCAGAAAAAACAATAATATTGGCTGTTCTGGGCACGAGAACAGCTTAGTAGGATTCATTGAAGAGAATACTTTAGCTATGTGAATACATTACCCATTGCGACATAAGGTATTCTGATCCTAGTCTCACAAATCAACATAAGTGTGTTTCTTCTTTGTTTCAAGAGGTAGAACTTCTTGAAATTTGTTTGAAAATGAACTTTATTAAGAAGTTATTTTCGTTGTAGGAATTGATTATGGCTTAAGTTTACCACTTGGGGAAGACTATGAACGGAAGAAACACAAACTTAAAGAGGAATTACGGCAAGATTACAGACGTTATCTTACTCAGGTAATGCCTTCTATTAATGAGTTAGCTCTTATTTCAGAATTCATCTCCTGAATTTGTTTTCATGAGATATTAGTAATATGGGTTAATTCTTAGTTTTTCAGTGATACCTAGCAGTAGTAGAGTCAAAGTTATATGATATTAACAGAGTAAAAAGTGGTGCTGGGAAATGGTGCTGGGGAACATCTCAGACTCTTGACTTTTGGAGTAGGGCAGTGGTTTTAATTTTAAATGATATTGTAAATTCTGGTTGTTCGTATTTTTGTTAAAGTTGTCATGGTTTAAAGTAGACCAATTTCAATTCCTACTCTTACAACCCCCAACCATGTATGAAAATGATGTATGGAGCATTAGTTGCTAATTATTTTCCTATGGACTAAACTTAATAAAGTTTTATTTAACATATTTATTTAAACACCACAGGCCTTGTTTTATGACATAAAGTTTTATAATACTTAGCAGAACCCTTATTTTAAGTATATTTTGTAAGCTTATATAATGGCTATAGATTTATTATAAGTTTTAAAATGTAATTTACTTTTTAGGTTTTAAAATTCTTTTAAACAATCATGTTTCTAGTCATTCCAGAATATTCTTTTATTTTTCAGTGCTTTGTAATGTTTGTTCCAAATATACGAATGGTTTCTTACTTACTCTGATTTGCACATGAAGAGAATCAACTTTAACTGAGTATATTTTATCTATGGTTTGTTTCCCTTAACTTTAGGGCATTACACAAGCAAAAAGAAAGGTAGGATTGCCTGCAAAATGTCTCCTTTTGCTTTTTGTTTTGTTTTGCATTCAGGTCTAGTAGCTTGCAATCGTTTGCATTTATGAGACTCAAATCAATTAGAAAAGTAGCCTCATTTGTGATTTTGAGATGTTTGAATGGTACCGTTTTGTTTTTAGCAAGATAGATGTCAACACATTATAATTTTCCATTAATATAATTATTACTTTTGTTTCCTGCTTTACATTTGTTTTTGTTGCTTTCTTATGCATCCTTTATAAATATCCTGCAGCTATTTTAAACCCGTTTGTTTTCAGCATGCTAGTTTTTATTCCTCAAATTACACTAATCACAGTAAGATTAATAAAATAGAATATCATGATATTTGAAGATGTTTTAACTATGTGTTGTCAGGATTTGGATTATGCAATATTTTTACACCAGAAATTTTGGATTACATTTGTAGATTTATATTGGAAAACAGGGAGAAATTGTCTTTATAGTTTTATAAAAGTGTTTTAAAAAAGAATCGCACATGTTCATTCAGCATTCAAGTAATATTTTTTAAACACTTATGAAGATGCCTCATGTGGATCCTGTCTTCAGGGGACTTATAATCTAATTGTAGAGGTAACATTCACACCATTCAGAAAGTGTTAACTACAACAAGAAGGCTATAATGATCAGGAAAGGCCTCATAATGGAAGTCATTATTTTGTAAAGCATTATAGGATAGGTAAAATTTGGATAATCTTGAGGAAGAATCAAGAGAAAGCTTTTCAGATGGAGAATATAGAATGAAGGAGGACTTGAAGGGTAGACTTTAGCTTTCTATCAGTCAGTCGTTTTACCAGGCTAATTGAGACAATACGATTCTTTTTGAGAGTAGTAAGAAATAGAAGGGAAATAGTAGATAGGATAGTATCAGATTAGAAGGCAATAGATTTGAAACTTGTTATATGTGATATAGAGGTGAAAAACTGTACTTCCTTTATGTAGCCCACAAAGAAAGAGCATGGTTAACTGTTTTAGGATGTTAGTTCTGCACGTAGAGACTCAAATCTTAAATTACTGCTGTAGCTTCTTACTTGTTCTCCTTGCATCGTTTCTTAGTCTGTTCTCTATGCTGCTTTCCAGAATGATCTTGTCTCTAACAGATTTAAATACATCAGTAACTTCTCACTGCTTTCAGGGTAAAAATTCACCTTCTTCAGCATGTCACATGTCTTTCCTGTCCCAGCCTGACTCCCTGGACTTATGCCTCATTATCTTGCCCATCCTTATCAGCTCCTTATTGGGCAGGGTTTTCCTCTGGTATCGAACGTCTACCATTGTATTCATAAATATAAGCTGGAAAAAAAGAATGGTGATGAGGGCATAAGAAGAAATTGCCTTTATGAAATGAATGTAAGAGATCAGGGTATAAATCTTTAAATTCAAGGGAGTTTTTTGGTATTGGATTATCAAGAGTATAGTTGTGGTAGAGGAGTGATGTTTCCTTAAAATGAAAGAGACAATTTTTGGTTGATATCTGAAAAGGTGGGAGTGGAAAGGAAAATAGGGAAAATAATGAAAACTACATAGGATATGGGGGTAGTGGCTGCAGCTTTTTGGATCCCTTCTCACTTCTTCTGGATCTCTTGTGGCTTCCTAACTTTTGGCTTGCATGGATATTTAAATTTAAAAAAACCTCTTAATTTTGTCAAGAAGGGCTATTAAAATAAACAACTATCATCTCTTTCCTAGTTTTTAGAATAAAAGATACCTGACCATCTAAATGTAGAGAAGACATGATCTTAGGAGAAATGTTTTTAAATTGCATTAGTAAATTAATGTTTCCAGCCCAGATTTGTCTGTCTGAACCTCAGACTTTTTCCTGGCTGCCTACTTGACATTTTCCCTTAGAAATCTAACTGATATCTTATATAGAACATGTCCAAAACAGAACTCCTGATTTCCATTCTTCTGATCCTCATCTCTAGAAGCCTGCACTATCTATAGCCTGGGTTTTTAAAAAAATGTTTATTTACTTATTTATTTATTTATTTTGCAGTTTTTGGCTGGGGCTGGGTTTGAACCCACCACCTCCGGCATATGGTGCCAGTGCTCCACTCCCTTGAGCCACAGGTGGCGCCCTTTTTATTTATTTTTTTAAGACAAAAATCTCGCTGCTGCCCAGGCTAGAGTGCAGTGGTGTGATCACAGCTCACAGTAACCTCAAACTCCTGGGCTCAGGCCATCCTCTTCCCTCAGCTTCTTGAGTAGCTGAGACTACAGGTGCCCCTGTCTGGCTATTTTTTCTATTTTTTAAAGAAGAAGTCTCACTCTTACTCTGCCTAGTTTTGAACTGCTGGCTTTGAGCAACCCTCCCACCTTTATCTCCAGAGTGCTAGGATTATAGGTGTGAGCCACTGCACCCAGCCTGTAGCTGGTTTTTTTTTTTTTTTTTTTTCCTATTTTTTGTCACAGCTGTTGGGAGTAGGGAATTGTCCAATAAAGCAATGAGGATGTTTTATCTGTCTACCCAAGGTTGGAAATCTGTGTTTTTTTCAAACATTTGTAACTTTACAAAATGATTAGGTTCATAATGTTTTTTAGTATATAGGCAGTACACTGACTCAGGGCTCTAATTATGTGGATTTATTTCCTTTGTCAAATAAGTTTAGAGTCCTATACAACCAACTTTCAAATTAGCTTTTGTACACAACTTATTTTAAACTCAGGTTTAATGAAACTTTATTAATCACTTTTGCTAATCACTCTGTTTGCATAGTAGTTTGAATATAATGCTCTTATAGCACCTGGTACATAGTATTGTAGTTATTTGTTAAAATGTGTGTTTCTTCAACTGAATCATAAACCTCTTGAATATAGGAAAGGTATACTTATCTTTGCCTTTCTACCACCTAAAATAGTATTAGAAAATATTAGATGGTTGATAATTGCTTTTTCAATGAATAAATAAAAGGCAGAGAGCTAGAGGTTAACCAATACTGATTGATTTGATTCTTATAACCTAGTGATGTAGTTGGCATTACCTCTGTTTCACAGATAAGAAACTGAGTCAGAGAAGTGAAGTACTTAACTCCAGATTATTTGACTGCTAAGTATAAAAGTTAAGGATTTTTTTTTTACTGGTCTTTTGTATTTGCTTCATAGTGCTCTGACACATTTTACATTTTTTGTCCTCCTGGATCCTTATGCCAGCTTTGGTAGGTAGGCAGAAAGTCTGTCAGAGAAGTTAACTGACTTGCTCACTGTTACACAACTTTTCAGTTGTTGTGGCTAGTCATAAATCCTAGGTCTTTTGACCACTAGTCTGATATATTGTATTACTTAAATGCTTAATGAACAAGAAGGCACACATAAACTTTGTTCATAATTCTATCTATTGGCATTCCAGTAGATACTCACTTATATAATTGCAGGAAAAATTGAAAAAAATAAAAAGCACCATTATTGTTCCATGCATAAGGAGATTTGTGAGGAAGTTTAAATTTGCCTTAGGAATAAAAGAACAGTAGAGGACTAAGAATGTGTATAAGGACTTAGTCCTTACTAATATGTGCTTAGAAGAGGAATATAAATTCTGAAAGTTTTCTTGTTTCCATGCTTCTAATCATCTTGAATCAGTAGGTATTTATGTGTATTGCAAATGAAAATTAAGGCCTGATTCTCCTTCTCAGGGAATTGTTGATTAGAAAAAAATTACCTTTTTTTCCCGGTTGCTTTTGGTGTGGTCTCTGTAGATTTGTAGTTTCAACCTTAATTCTTTTGCTCTACATAATGCAATACTAATTTAGAATATAAAGACATTTATGAAATGTTTTATAAAAGCAATTAGGTAATTTTTTTTTAATGTGTATATATACAGAAAAATTATCTATCCACGGGTGAACCAGATCCATCTACTCTGGGAGTGTCTCTTCCTATTGGTGAGAGGTTATCTGCCAAGGTACGTAGATAGGAGTAGTTATTGTGAGTAGCAGTTTTCCAAGGTATCAAAATCATGAAAGAACATACTGACTTTACATCTTTTATATTAACTTGGATGGAGGTGGAACACATTCTTCTTTGTAAAGCATCACAAGAATGGAGAAGCAAGAATCCAGTGTACTCAATTATAATATGAAAGCAGCAGATGAGCTAATGGGGGGGGTCTGGTAAGGAGATGAGGAAGTGGGCAGAGGAGAGGAGGGTGAGAGATGGGGGGGGTCACGATGTGTGGCCTACCTCTTGGGGGCAATACACAATTATAAAAGGGACTTTAATAATTGAAATAAGTATAACCTAATTCTTTGTACCCTCAATGAATCCCAAATAATAAAAAAAAGTAAATAGAATATTACATCATTTTTCTGTACTTGCATATGTTTATTTTTCAAAAATCTATGGAGTTCCTTGTTGAGATACATAAAGAAATTTTTAAGTATTATATTTGTTACCATGTAGTGAGATATATTTCTTTAATATTTGATTCTTTTACTGTATTTAGTTATACTTAATCGAATATTCAAAATTCCTTTTGTCTGCATTGGTTTTTGAGTAACAAAGTTCATGCCATGTGACATAGGTATCTGTGGAATGAATGGAACTGAGAGTATAGAGACCTTTTATGTGGGGTCAGGGTAGGGGCTCTTTGAATAAGTGTCTTTGTTATTGCACTAATACATGTCCATACTCTTTAGAGGTGGTTGTGATAAATCACCTATCCTATCCCTGAGAAGGAAAAAAGGAAGGTAACCCCATCATATCTGCTTGTGACCGACTTCCTGGCAAACACATTCATTGTATTTACTAGTGGGAGAGATTTATTTATGAATGCTTTTGGCTGGATGTACCTGGTTTAACTAGGATTGCTGTTGGTTATTAAACCTGGAGTTTCTATAGGGCATGGTTCTTCGGAAAATACCACCTATGCTCTATAACTACTGGAGTACAAAATGGAGGTGTTTTATAAAGAAACAGCTCCCTTCTTTTAGTGATCTCCTGTATTAATGGACCAAAACCATGTAGCCATGCTTATTTTCACGGAGACCTCAAGAGCTCCACTGGACTTGGAGCTCCTCTTCCTATTTCTCCTGTGTCTTAGAATGACTTCTATCTTTGAAATTATTAGGAAAGCTTGATTCTGGGTAAGAGCTCTGATTTGTATGATTTTGATTTGACATTCACATTTGACTTTAAAGTGCTTTTTCCTGAAGTTGAAGTTAACATTTCTTTTGATTTCTATTTTAAGGAAAGGTTGAAACTTGAACGCAACAAAGAATACAATCAGTTTCTCAGGGGTAAGGAGGAATCCAGTGAAAAGTTCAGACAGGTAGAAAAGAGTAATGAGGTAGGTTTTGCTTTAAAAGGCTGAATATTTTGTATTTTAAAAGTGTTTTATATTTTAGACATTTCTCTTGTTTTTTATGAAAACATTTGTAAATTAAAGCCAAAATTATGTCAAACACGGGATATTTAAATATTTAGTTTTGGAAATTGTTTTGTTTTGTGTGGAAGAACTTACCCTACCTTTAAAAATTTAATGTCATTGGGGAAATATAAATTTAGAGATCAGTTTTATTAAATGATTTTTGTTTATTTTTAAAAGTTTTGGTATTGATAATTTCTAGCTACATATTTTTTTCCAAATTTAAAGGTAGTTAATATTTTTAGGGTCAAAACATTTACTACTTTCTATATTCTTTGTGTTGACAGAGTATTTAATTTGAAATATTTTGAAGTAATATTTAACTGCCAAAGTATATCTAATATCTCATTGGATAGGAATTGGTATTTAGTTTATCCTTTCTTTTTACAGTCACTTATTGGCCAGGTGCGGTGGCTCACACCTGTAATCTCAGCACTTGGGAAGCTGAGGCAAGTGGATTGCCGAGGCTCATAAGTTTGAAACCAACCTGAGCAAGAGCGAGACCCCCATCTCTGAAAAATAGCTGGGCACTGTGGTGGGCACCTGTAGTCCCAGCTACGTGGGATGCAGGAGAATCACTTGAACCCAAGAGTTTAAGTTTGCTGGGAGCTAAGATGCCTTGGCACTCTACCAAGGGTGACCAAGGGAGACTCTCAGAAAAAAAAAATGTATATATAGTCACTTATCCGTATTACTGTTGCCTGTCTGTTGGTATTTAATAAGTTGTATTGAAAGATAAAATATTCTTCAGTTTTTTTTTCTTAAGATATTTTTTATGGGTGATTAAATGTCAGACTGATTTGGGGGTTTAATTACCATTTATGTGATGTTATCATTAAGATCTGTTCTTTTTTCTTTTTTAATTGAACAGCCAAAGAGTCAAAGAAATAAAAAACTTGTAAGTCAAGTTAAGTCTGATTTATCTTCACAAATACAATCATCTCGTGAAAATTCTGAGGATCCTAGGAGAGGTGTCTTAACTCCTTCAGAGGCATACGAAGAGCTTTTGAACCAAAGGCGACTAGAGGAGGATAGATATCGACAACTCGATGATGAAATTGAATTAAGGAATAGAAGAATTATTAAAAAAGCTAATGAAGAAGCAAGCATTTCCAACACAAAGCATCAAAGGTTTGCAAGCAGGACTGGCATTCCAGGTAGAAGATTTCACAGATTTAATGAGGATTGTGTTTCTGATAGACAATATTATAGACCAGACCAAGATCCTGAAGTAAGTGAAGAAATGGATGAGAGATTTAGATTTGAAAGTGATTTTGATAGAAGACTTTTGAGAGTGTACACAAATGACAGGTATTTACAATTTCATTTTTACTTTCTTATTAATATTGCTGCTGTTACTTTTTTGTCATTATATTAGGGAGCAACAGTTTCATTTGATTTACCCTATCTTGTTGATTCTAAGATGCATCATTATTTTATGTGCTATTGAGAGAAAACAAGAAAACACTCAAGGTGGGGGCTCTGTTATAAAGCTGGAAAACTGAATGGCTCCACTTTTATTTATGGACAGAAAGGAAACTTCCACAACCCAAACTTGACACTAGTAGAGGGAGTTAAAAAAAAAAAATCCTTCCCTGGCAATTTGAAGTGGAAACCAGTACTGATTCAGGTTCAAGGTGTGAATTTGTGCTGCCTATAGTGTTCAAAATTACCTCAAGGCGAGGATTCAAAGCTGTCTTGATTCATGGTGCCGCTAGATGACTGACAGGGAAAAATGACTCTTAACTTGCAATTTCTTGACTTAAAGCCAGGTCAGTGGCCGTCCTGGTTTCAGATGTTTAAATGTGGGGGAAAAAGATACTTTAATACAGATGAAATATGGTTTTTAATGGGTGTGATGGCTCATACCTGTAATCCTAGCATTCTGGGAGGCCAAGATGAGGATTGGCCAGGAGTTTGAGACCAGTCTGGACAACATAGTGAGACCTTGTGTCTACAACAAAAACAAAAAAAGAAATATAGTTTATTCCTGTAGTCATAATTTTGGGATCAGATTTTCTGATGCTTTTCAGTTTCTTTGCATGATTGTTTATGTGACACTATTTGTAATTTCTTAACTGCTGCAACGAGGTTTTATCTTGTTAAGTCCTGGTTAACACTTGAAATTTGCTATACAGGTTGTCCCAAAGGTTGCTGCTCATAACGTTGCCATACATAGGGAAAATAGGAAAATGTAGCTAAATGTACATTTTTTTTTAATATAATACTTTTTCTTTTTTTTATTGTTGGGTATTCATTGGGGGTATAAGAAGTGTCACCACACACTGAGACCCCACCCCCCTCCCTCCTTCCTTCTCTCTGCTCTCCCCTTTCCCTACCCCTCACTGTGTCATTAATTGTCCTCATATCAAAATTGAATACATTGGATTCATGGTTCTCCATTCTTGTGATGCTTTACTAAGAATAATGTGTTCCACTTCCATCCAGGTTAATACAAATGGTATAAAGTCTCCATTTTTTAAATGGCTGAATACTATTCCATGGTATACATGTACCATAGCTTCTTAATCCATTCCTGGGTTGGGGGGCATTTAGGCTGTTTCCATATTTTGACGACTGTAAATTGAGCTGCAATGAACAATCTAGGGCAAGTGTCCTTAATGCTAAAAGGTATTCCTCTGGATAGATGCCCAGTAATGGAATTGCAGGATCAAATAGGAGTTCTAGCTTGAGTTCTTTGAGGTTTCTCCTTCCAAAAAGGTTGTATTAGTGTGCAGTCCCACCAGCAGTGTAAAAGTGTTCCTTTCTCTCCACATCCATGCCACCATCTGCAGTTCTGTGATTTTGTGATGTGGGCCATTCTCGCTGGGGTTAGATGATATCTCAGTGTAGTTTTGATTTGCATTTCTCTGATAATTAAGGATGATGAGCATTTTTTCGTATGTTTGCTAGCCATTTGTCTGTCTTCTTTAGAAGACAATCCAGGATGCTGGATTGTTCTAATTAGAAAAGGATGCTGGTTCTGTTCATTTCTCTTGCCCATTGATAGATGAGATTGTTGGCTTTTTTCATGTGGCTTAATTTGAGTTCTCTATAGATCCTAGTTATCAAGCTTTTGTCTGATTCAAAACATGCAAATATCCTTTCCCATTGTGTAGGTTGTCCATTTGCTTTGGTTGTTGACTCCTTAGCTGTACAGAAGCTTTTCAGTTTAAGTCCCATTTGTTTTTATTGATGTTGCAATTGCCATGGCAATCTTCTTCATAAAGTCTTTCCCCAGGCTGGTATCTTCCAATGTTTTCCTGTGCTTTCTTTGAGGATTTTTATTGTTTCATGCCTTAAATTTAAGTCCTTTATCCATCTCGAATCAATTTTTGTGAGTGGAGAGAGGTGCAGGTCCAGTTTCAGTTTTTTGCATGTGGGTATCCAGTTCTTCCAGCACCATTTATTGAATAGGCAGTCTTTCCCCCATTGTATGTTTTTGTTTGGTTTATTGAAGATTAGGTAGTTGTGAGTTGTTAGTTTCATTTCTTGGTTTTCTATTTGATTCCAAATGTCTATGTCTCTATTTTTATGCCAGTACCATGCTGTCTTGACCACTATGGCCTTGTAGTATAGCCTAAAATCTGGTATGCTGATGCCCCCAGCTTTCCATACAAAACACGGTTTTCTTCTAGTATGGGGTTTCTTCTGGTTCCATACAAAATACAGAATCCTTTTTTCCAAGTCTTGAAAGTACGATGTTGGTATTTTAATAGGGATAGTGTTGAGTGGGTGGATTGCTTTGGGAAGTATAGACATTTTAATAATGTTGATTCTTCCCAGCCATGAGCATGGTGTGTTCTTCCATTGGTTAATATCCTTTGCTATTTCTTTTCTTAGAGTTTCATAATTTTCTTTACAGAGGTCCTTCACCTCTTTTGTTAGGTATATTCCTAGGTATTTCATTTTCTTTGAAACTATGCTGAAGGGAGTTGTGTCCTTAATTAGCCTCTCATCTTGGCTGTTATTGGAGTATACAAAGTCTACTGATTGTGGACATTGATTTAATATCTTGAGACATTATTATGTTTTTTAATGACTTCCAGGAGGCTTGTGGTTGAGTCATTGGGGTTCTCTAAGTATAAGATCGTATCATCAGCAAAGTGGGAGAGTTTGACTTCCTGTACTCTCATTTGGATGCCCTTTATTTCCTTGTCTTGCCTAATTATATTGGCTAGACCTTCCAGCACTATGTTGAATTGTAATGGCAACAGAAGACAGCCTTGTCTGGTTCCAGTTCTAAATGGAAAAGCTTTCAGTTTAACTCCATTCAGTTAGATATTAGCTGTGGGTTTGTCAAAGATAGCTTGAATCAGTTTAAGAAATGTGCCACCCATGCCTATACTCTTCAGTGTTCTAATTAGAAAAGGATGCTGGATT